AAGCAGAAAACTAGTCAATAAGAGCTTGCAAGGTTAAATTCTAATTGTTTAAGCAATTTCCTAAACCATAAATAACAAGTTTTCCTAATTTCCGACCCCGGGCCCACATACCCGGATTCCAATATTTTTTGAAGGAAGTTGTCCTCTATCACCTAAGGATCACAAATATGTTATTTCTAGTTCATTTCATGGGGAAATTAAAGGATTAAATCTTAGTTTTGACTAATCCCTAGGTCTAACTCTAATCTCTTGATTTTTACCTAATTTTAGTGTTAAATTCTACCTAATGTTTATGTATTTGAACTAAAAGTGGGTGGGAATTACTTACCTTGCAATGATATGTGGAAACTCTCTCTTTGAAACCCCCAAAATCGCCCAAGTTGTGTAGTGAGAAATGAGAGAAATGAGTTTGGGTTCGTATTAATGAACCCTTCTGCCCCCAGTGATTTCCGCTTCTGCGGAAGGAATCCCGCCTTCTGCGGAAGTGAGCCGCTTGTGCGGAAAAGGCCAAGGGGACTGGGTCGCTTCTGCGGTCTAAACCTCGCTTCTGCGAGGCCGCTTAAGCTGAAAGGCCACCGCTTCTGCGGTTCTGGGCCTGGGCGGATGGATCGTTTCTGCGGTCAGGGGTCCGCTCCTGCGCGGTTTCCCCTGGGCCTGGCCCCTTCCACTTCTGCGATAACAGACCGTTTTCTGCGGTCTCGCTTCTGCGGTCCAAGAGCCGCAGAAGCGGTTATGACAGAAGCAGCAGATGAGGTTTCTTCCTAAGTTTTCAACTTCACTCGAACCTCGACCATTTGACGCTCGGGGCTCCCGAGCCCCGCCCGAACATACCGACAAGTCTGAAATCACGAGGCGGACCTACTCGAACCCTCGAAACACTCAAAACAACGCTAAATCGAGGAATCAACCCCCAAAACCAAATGAATCAATTCATTGAACTTCAAGTTCTTAATTCTCCTTCAACGGGTCAAAACGCCCTTAAACTACTCGGATGGACACCCAATTTTACGGGTAGGTCCTAACTGATATTTGAACTTGTACCAAGTTTTCGAAATTGAAATCCGAACCCGATTACTATGAAAACAATGATTTCTTAGTTTATTTAAATCTTTTGAAACTTTACTTAAGCAATTTCACGAAAAAAATTCATTACTCGGGCTAGGGACCTCGGAATTCGATTCCGGGCATATGCCCAGGTCCCATATTTTCCCGCGGACCCTCAGAGTTTGCCAAATCACGATTCCGGGTCTGTTTCCCCAAATTGTTGACCGAAGTCAAACTTGGCCTTTTTTAAAGAACTTAAGAATTTTAATTAGTTGGTGCTCGTTTGGCTACGAATTGAGGGTTTGGGCCTATTCTTGATATCGGAAGTGCACTTCGGAGCGAGGTGAGTCTCCTTTCTAACCTCGTAAGAGGGAATTGTCCCCTTAGGATTAATGTTTGAGTGTTTGTTGCTAAATGCGGGGGCTACACACGAATTAGGTGACGAGAGCCCGTGCGTAGCTACTACTATGATAAATGTCCGGGTAGCTTAGGACCTACAACATGCCTATTAAATATATCTCTTATGTTAAACCGTTGTTATGAACACCTACCGTGTACTAGAGACTTAAAGGGGATAGGAGCATACTTGTATAGTTAATTAAGTTTGATTTAATATTCTTGACCATTTATGTGCCATGTGTGTGAACTTGATATTTCATCCTTATTTGTGGATCGGGCCGATCGCCTCGGTATGAATAGATGCATCTATAGGCGCGCCGTCGACCCTCAGCAAGTGCACAGTTTATTTCTATTGGATCGGGCTATCGCCTCGGTATTATGTGCACATGTTAATTGTGGAAAAGCCTATACATGCTTTATTTTGCCATTATCTTATATGATAAATTATAAACTTGATGTTGTAAAGTTCTTGACTTATACACTTGCCATAAACTGTTGATACTTGTAAATTCCATGATTTGAATACATCATACTTATATATATATATATATATATATATATTAATTGACCTTAGTAAGTATCAAGTCGACCTCTCGTCTCTACTTCTTAGAGATTAGACGGGATACTTACTGGGTACATATTGTTTATGTACTCATGCTACACTTCCGTACTGAAATGTACAGGATTTGAGGCAGGTGGATCCGGACATCACTCTGGTGCATATCAGTGAGCGCATCTGGGACTTCTACGGTGAGCTACAGTCCCTTCTTTCCGATCCGCAGCCGAAGAACTCTTCCTTGTATTTTTTTTGTTGTTGTTTGTCTACCCTGATTCAGACAGTAGGATAGGGTATTATTCATTGTGTGTATATTCTACTAGTTGCCCGTAGCTTGTGACACCAGGTTCTGGCACACACAGTAGTAGACGTTATTTTGGGTTGTATAACTGTCTTTACATTTTATTGATCTTTATTGGTTTATGACTTTAATTGGGGGAAAAATCTATTATAATGGTTTTTGGTAAGGGTAAAATGAGAATTTAATTATACTTCCGCGTTGGCTGGCCTGACAAATGGTGTCGGGCGCCATCATGACCTATTTTGGAAAATGGGTCGTGACAAGTATCTCAAAGAGAAAATACATAAAAATGCCCTTTCAGAAACAATAAATAATTTTCAATCTCATAACGCTTTTCTTGTAGTAAAATATAATTAACAATTCAGTAATAAGCTCGGTAAGCATTGTATAATATTAGTATTCACATTTTGGGAGGTTTAAATGAACGGATCATGTAATCAGTATAACTGTGGACTTCTTTGCAAGAAGTCATATGTAACGGTAGTCCCTACTCGAGAGAAATCGGTAACGGTATGCTAGTTCTACCTTCCCACTAGCGAGGGCTATAACGGTAATCGATAAATACAAGGTGCACCAGGTCTAACGAACCCGCCGTTAGCTACGGGATCCTTCAATGTCTACTCCCATTTATACTTGTCTCTGTAATCCGTGTACACTCGTAGAAAATATTTTAAAACAATATAGGGCATTTCGGTTCTTATCAAATCATATAATTTCTTTTCAATTAACGGTACAACAGATCTAGTGACAACGAAAATATTTAAAACCACGGTATTCATCTCAAATAACTATTTCGATATCATATCGAGTAAAAGACACGTCCCACATGTAACTTAAAATAATCGGTAACATATTCATATTAAAAATCATGTGTAAATCATGCAAGTTATGAAAACACAAATTGCAGTAAGATTACTACTCACAGTACTCGTGCCGAAATACCAACTGCTTCACCTCAAGCAACTCGTACAAATTCCTCCAATCAATCTATAATTTCATAACATCGATCTCATGTTAATTGCCTCATTTAGGCTAAATCCATCACTAATTTAGAATACCAATCATCGGGGTTCATGTTTGAGTCTTAGTTTGTGGATTTATATTTAATCATAGAACTAGTCCATATTTCTATCAATTTCAAACTATTTAGTATAATTTATTCCTCTAAAATTAGACCTAGCAGTGCTTAAACCAAACCTTTATAGCCTCATTATCTCAATAGTAATTGTATATTTCTTTATATATAAGAGAAAGTTGATATTGAATTCTTTTGTACTACATAAAATTGCATAGATGCGGTAAAATAATTTAACAGATGAGAAGAAGAAGGTTAACCTCTTGAGTCGAAGGAGAACCTTAATACTTTCAATTTCAACTCCCAGTTCTTCTTAAGGCCTTTGCCCAAAGCTTTCTTCTTCTTCTTCTTCTTCTTCTTCTTCTTCTTCTTCTTCTTCTTCTTCTTCTTCTTCTTCTTCTTCTTCTTCTTCTCTTTTCCCCCTTTTGTTTTTTTTCTCTGAAACTCGCTGCTTCTGTTCTCTTTTGCGCAGCTTGCTGTTTCCCCCCTTTTTATTTTTCTAAGGTTTTCCAGAGAATGGGCTTCGTGCCCCTTTAAAATCCTTATTCTTCTCTTCTGTTTTTTTTCTTTTTGTCGTGACATGGGCTAAGCCCACTTGTATCCTATCTCCTTTTTTGCTTTGTTTATTTTGTTCATTATTTGCTTGTTTGTTTTCTTTTTTTTGTAGTTACTTTCTTATAGTTATTATTATTATTATAATTATTATGACCAATACACCCTTATTTAAAAAAAACAAAAATATAGGGTATTACATCCTCCCACCTTATGAAATTCGGTCCCCGAATTTAACTTAAGTACATACCTGTAGACTGAAACAAATGGGGATACTTCGCTTGCATATCTTTTTGTAGTTCCCAAGTAGCTTCTTCGACTGTATGATTTCTCCATAAGACTTTCACGAACATGATTTCTTTTGACCGTAGTTTTCTTATTTGTCTATCAACAATAGCCATTGGCTCCTCCTCGTAAGACAACCTCTCATCAAGCTGTGTAGTTGGTGCTTCAAGCACCTGGGATGAGTCTGATATACATTTTCTTAGCATTGAGACATGAAACACTGGATGAATAAAGGACAACTCAGGAGAAAGTGCCAAACGATAAGCTACAACTCCCACTCGGTCTAATATCTCATACGGTCCTATAAACCTGGGGCTCAACTTGCCTCTTTTCCCAAACTGCATCACACCTTTCATAGGGGAGACTCGTAGGAACATTTTGTCCCCAATTGTGAACACTAAATCTCTTCTTCTCTTATCGGCATAAGACTTTTGTCTACTTTGAGCTGTAAGCAATATCTGTTTGATCAACTGGACCTTGTCCATAGCTTCTTGTACTAGGTCGGGTCCCAATAAATTAGTCTCACCAGCTTCAAACCATCCGATACGAGAACGGCATCTTCTACCATACAATGCTTCGTATGGTGCCATTTGAATACTGGACTGGAAGCTATTGTTGTAAGCAAATTCAGATAAAGGTAGATAAGCATCCCAACTACCTTTAGGGTTTATGCCCATTGCCGATCATGTGGTCAGTTTCCCCGCTTTCGATTCCGACCAAGATTGACTTATTATTCCTCCTCGTCCATTAGTTCAGTTCCTTAGTTCAATCAGTCCCTTCCTCAAAACCTATTTCCGCAAGTGCCACTGCTCTTATTCCACAATATGGGATTGAGAATGACATTAAAATTGAACAACTGTGTTGTGACAACTCTTCATACTCTGCTTCCACCTTATTCCTTTCAAGGTTGCACCTAGTGCAGTAGCAATAAATGCAAGAATATTTACTTCCATAATCTCATCGGTTTTTTACTTCGAAATAACTCGGGATTTAATCCCATAGAGATGATAAATCTTTGGCCTGTAAATTCAATGAATGAATATTACCTCTCGATGATCTTGAATCGGATCAATATCATGAATAACAATATCTGAACTATCAAATCAATTCGTCGTCGAGAATTGAATAGTATAACATAGGAAGTTCTTTTATCCATACCGCCCCAAACTTGGATTCCTGACCCAATCCAAAATTCCTTTATTTATTTATCATTATCATTTTTTCTCATCTGTTCTTTTTTTCTCTCTAATCTATCTAGTTCCTTCTTGTACAATCATCTGATGAAGTCTCATCAAATAGCTCTTCCACTTCCAGTGGTCACATAGTTACAAACCCAAACAAACAATAAAAGCTAAATGGAAAAAGAAAGGAGTTTAGAAATAAACTATTTTTGACTTGGAAGACAAAGAAGTGTGATAAAGATGAGACCGTATAAAATGAATATTCATCAAATTTACTATTTTCCGATTTGTTCTTTCAAGCTCTCAACATATCCTCCAAGATCTGTATAGTACGTTCAGACTGCCCGTCTGTCTGTGGATGAAATGCAGTACTAAGATCTACTCGTGTACCCAATGCTTCTTGAAAAGATTTCCAAAAGCGTGAGGTAAATTATGATCCTCTATCAGAGATGATGGATATTGGAACTCCGTGAAGTTGGACAATTTCGTCCATAAATATTTGTGCATACCTGACTCCACTATATGTAGTCTTCACCGGCAAAAAGTGTGCTGATTTCGTCAGTCGATCTACAATCACCCATACCGAATCATAACCTCTAAGGGTTTGTGGTAGCCCGGTGACAAAATCCATAGTAATTCTTTCCCATTTCCACTCTGGAATCTCAATTTGTTGTAGTAGTCCTGCGGGTCGCTGATGCTCAGCCTTGACCTGCTGACAAGTCAAACAACTAGAAACAAAGTTAGCAACATCTTTCTTCATACCTTCCCACCAATAAAATTGCTTCAGGTCATGGTACATCTTTGTGGATCCAGGATGTATAGTGTATTTAGAGTTGTGGGCTTCTTCAATAATAGCATGTCTCAACCCATCTACGTCTGCTACACATAGCCTGTCACCCATTCGAAGAACACCATTGGTTTCAACAATCATATCCTTGTTTTTACCAGCTAAGACCTCATCTCAGTATTTACATAATCATTCATCCTCATATTGGGTGGCCATGCGCTCAACTAATGAAGACTTAGCCTGAGCACAAGCCAACAATGCCTCTGAATTTCCTACACTAAATATGATACCTGTATCTTCTAGTCTCTGAATATCTTTGGCCAAAAGTCTCTTTGCAGGGGCTATATGTGCCAAACTCCCTATAGATTTTCTACTCAATGCATCAGCCATCACATTGGCTTTTCCAGGATGATACAAAATAGAACAATCATACTCTTTAAGTAGTTCCATCCAACGACGCTGCCGAAGATTTAGATCTCTCTGCTGAAAGATATACTTCAGACTTTTATGGTCAGTATAAATCTCACAAGTTTCGCCGTATAGATAATGTCTCCAAATTTTTAGAGCAAATACCATTGCAGCCATCTCCAAATCATGTGTAGGATAGTTTTGCTCGTGCTTTTTCAATTGTCTCGAAGCATAAGCTATAACACGACCATTTTGCATGAGAACACATCCTAATCCCACCCTCGAGGCATCACAGAATACTATAAATCCTTTAGAACCTGATGGTAAGGCTAATATTGGTGCAGTTGTCAAACATGTTTTGAGTTTTTGAAAGCTCTGCTCACATTCCTCCGTCCACTGAAACTTTGCATTTTTCTGTGTTAGCTTGGTCAGCGGCGCTGCTATTCTGGAGAAATCCTGCACAAAACGCCTGTAATAGCCTGCTAAGCCTAAAAAGCTGCGAATCTCTGTAGGAGAAGTAGGTCTGGGCCATTTCTGCACAGCTTCAGTCTTCTTAGGATCTACCATAATTCCATCTTTGGATACAACATGCCCCGAAAATGCTACCGAGTCTAGCCAGAATTCACACTTCGAGAACTTAGCATAAAGCCAATGTTCTCGCAATGTCTGCAACACAGTCCTGAGATGATTCTCGTGTTCTCCTTGGCTACGAGAATATATCAGGATATCATCAATAAATACTATTACAAATCTATCCAGAAACAGCTTGAACACCCTATTCATTAAATCCATGAATGCAGTTGGAGCATTTGTCAGTCCGAAAGGCATCACAAGGAACTCATAGTGCCCGTATCGAGTTCTGAAAGCAGTCTTAGAAATATCTTCATCTTTGATTCTAAGTTGATGATAACCAGAACGAAGGTCAATCTTTGTAAAGCGGGCAGCTCCTTGTAACTGATCAAACATGTCATCTATACAAGGCAAAGGATATTTATTGCGTATTGTTATCTTGTTCAACTGCCTGTAGTCAATGCACAATCTCAGGGATCCGTCTTTCTTCTTTACGAACAGTACTGGTGCACTCCATGGTGATACACTAGGTCTAATAAAACCCTTATATAACAAATCTTGTAACTGTTGCTTTAGCTCCCTCAACTCTGCTGGTGCCATTTGATATGGGGATATCGATATGGGCTGTGTGTCAGGTAGCAAATCAATACCAAAGTCTATTTCTCGTACTGGAGGCAATCCTAGTAAATCCTCAGGAAATACATCAGAAAATTCTCTCACTACTGGTACATTTTCTAGACTAACTGTTTCCTTTCTTGTATCATTTACAATAGCTAAAAGACCCAAGCAATCTTTCTTCAGAAGTCGTTGAGCCTTCATAAAAGATACAATTTTGCAAGTCTCTGGAACCTGACTCCCTCTTAGAATAAAACTGGGTTCATTTGGTATCTCAAACTTAACTATCTTTGCATAACAATCCACTATAGCATAGCAAGAAGATAACCAATCCATTCCCATCAGCATGTCAAAGTCAATCATATCAAGTACAATAAGGTCAGCTAGAGTACCTCTACCCTCAACCCGATCTGACAAGCACGATACACGTATTCAGCTAATAGAGACTCTCCAACAGGAGTAGCAACTAGAAAAGGATCATTCAATAGCTCGGGCTGTCTACTAAATCTCAAAGCAAAGTACGAGGACACATAGGAGTGAGTAGATCCCGGATCAATCAACGCAAGTGCATCAAATGAACAGACAGAAAGAATACATGTAACCACTGCATTCGAGGCCTGAGCATCCTGTCTAGTAAATGCAAAAACTCTCGCCTGACCTCTACCAACATTTTCGTATCCTTGATTCACAGTAGCACGCTCTCCAACACCTCGACCTCTATTTCCTTTACCTGTAGCACCTGAAGTATTACGAGTATTCTGAGTCGGTGCAGCTGACTGAATAGAAGCCTGGTTAAAATTTCTCGGAGACTGAGGGCAATCCCTCAAGTGATGTCCCAACTGGACATACCGAAAGCACTCTCTAGTTAGAACACGACATTATCCCAAATGTGATCTACCACAAGTCTGGCAGACTGGAGTAGTGGCATATATCTGCCCAGAATTACGATGTCCAGAAGATGATTGTCCCCTATTACCTTGTGTGTAATGTGGTCTGTATGTGGACTGTGAAGACATGTGAGTCCCTGTCTGAGAACCCTGTTGTTGTTGTTGTCCCTGATTTCCTGCTCTTCTATTTTCACTAAAACCGCCACTGAAAGCCCCTCCTGTGTTGGCCTTATTACGTAATTGACTAGCTGCACGCTCCTCACGTCCCTTGTTTTCAATCTTTCTAGCAAGGTCGACTACATCAGAGTAGGATAAAGTCTTCATTTGTGGGGCTACTGCAGTGTATAGCCGACCAACCATTCCATCAACAAACCTCTGAACTCGAGCTTCTTCGATAGACACTAAGTGAGGAGCATATATAGCCAGTTTACAAAACTTAGTGTTATATGTTGACACATCCATATCTGGAGTCCGAACCAATCTCTCAAAGTCTCTAGCATATTGTTGCATCAGACTGTCTGGAAGAAAATGATTCTTGAACAACTTAGTAAACTCGTCCCATGTCAGTAGTGGTGCTCCTGCTGGCCTTCCAAGCAATACCGTTTCATACCATGTGTTGGACATATCCTCTAATTTGTATGTTGCGAGCTCCACAACTCTCCCACTAGAACATCCAAGAGCACGTAATGCCTTAAGTGTCCCATCCAAGAAACTTTGAGGATCTGCTGAATTATCTGAACCTGTGAATATTGGTGATTTCAATTTCAGGAACTCGTGTTGGGATACTTCCTTATTTCCGAAAGGCTGAGTCTGTGTAGGTGCTTGTGTCTGTAAAGTAGCCTGAGGAGCTGAACTTCCGCCCTGAGTAGGCACCAATGCCTCTAACACATTCAATAACCTTGCCACTGCATCTGCAGATAAGGCAACAGTAGGTACAACAGTTGGCACTGGTGGTGGAGCGTTCTGAACTCCCTGCTCTTGCACTTGATCTTGCATAACAGCTTGGGTTTGACCCATGTTCCCAACTTGAGGTTGAG